AAAAAAAAACTTGGCAGCGAGCGAAACAGTCGGTGGGTTGCCCAGGAGACAGCTGAGGAGTATCGGGGGCAAAGTTTCCTACTCGGCGGTGTGTGGCAATTTTTCGTCAAGCCGCCCGAGGAAGTAAACGTAGCCGTATGTCGACTATGTGGCCAGAAAGTCAAGCGTGGCCAGGGGGCCCATGTTGGGACTACAGCGTTGCGGCAGCATATGCAGCGTCGCCATTTGGTGGCCTGGGAAAACCGTGATAAAGATACGGCGGTTCTGCCCGCCCCAGCCCCCGCTCCATCACCCGCTCCGTTACTTGCTCCGTCACCCGACGTCAATCGCCCTCCATCAGCCAGTCAAGGCTCCAACACCTCTGCTGAGGGGAGTTGTCGCTCGTTGGCATCTTCCTCGTTCAGATGCTCCTTCTCCTGCTACTCCTCTTTCACGGATTCCGTCAGCAGTCTTTCTTGGAATCCGTTTCCAAGAGACAACAGTTTGCGAGCACGCACCCGACGGTGCAAAAGCTGAACGTCCTCCTGTCCAAGTTGCTGGTGCTGCAGTCCCTCCCTTTCCAAGTGGTGGACTCAGCACCTTTCAGAGAAATGATGGCTTGTGCCGCGCCGCGGTGGAGAGTGCCAAGCCGTCATTTCTTCGCCAAAAAGGCAGTGCCAGCCCTGCATTCACATGTAGAAGACATGGTGGGCCAGTCTTTGAGCATGTCGGTCTCTGCCAAAGTGCACGGCAGCGCCGACGTGTGGAGCTGTAACTACGGTCAGGGACAGTACATGTCATTTACGGCCCACTGGGTGAACGTGGTGCCGTCACAGCCGCACCAGCAACTTGGACAGGTCACGCCGCTTTTGCCTCCACGTTTGCACGTCCTTGGTCCGGCAAAGATGTCCGCCTCTACCACCTCTTCTTCCGCCGTGTCCTCAGCCGCCACCCCGTGCCAAGTCCCATTACCCGACCGGCATATCACATGTGCAGGGCGCAACGGTGTCACGCTGTTCTGCACCTGGTATGCCTTGGCGAACGTAGTCACACAGGGGAGGAACTTCTGAGTGTAATGAACAGAGAAATCGACAGATGGCTGTCTCCGCGCAAACTGAAAATCGGAACCATGTTGACCGACAACGGAAAGAACATGGTGTCTGCTCTGCGTCAAGGAAGGTTGTGCCATGCGCCATGCATGGCTCACGTGTTCAATCTGGTTGTCAAGCGGTTCCTAAAATCCACCATCCCACTGCAAGACATCCTTAAAATGTCACGTAAACTTTGCATGCATTTCAGCCATTCCTACACCGCAAAGCACACCCTCCTTGAGCTGCAGCGGCAGAACGGAATTCCACAGCATCGCCTGATCTGCGACGTTGCAACAAGGTGGAATTCAACCCTACACATGTTAGACCGCCTTTACGAACAGCGAAAGGCCATCACCGATTTCCTGATGTTACAAGCGGATAAAGGTACTCCCCTGTGTAACTTCGATGTCAGCCATTGGCAGCTCATGCGTGACACCTGCCGCTTGCTCAGGCCCTTTGAGGAGGCCACGCTATTCGTGAGTCGGCAGGACTATGGGATGAACGACGTCATTCCTCTGTTGCACGTCCTTGAACAAATGCTGTTAACAATGGCTGGTCAGGGTGCGGTAGACGTGGCGCACAGATCTCAACGCCACATGACCCCTGTGGGGGCAGGACAGGAAGAAGAGGAGGAGGTAGAGGAGGACATTTGTGCTCAGGAATTATTGAGTGAAATGGGTGGTTTTTCCACTCAGCGGACAGGAGTGGAGGAGCAGGAGCATCTGGTAGAGGGAGGAGGAGGAGACAGAGGGACCCAGACGCACCGTGGCAGTATGCTGTGGAGATGGAGGCAGGGAGTCCCTCGCATTCCTTGGCACAAATGGCCCATAGCATGCTCGGTTGCTTGCGTAGCGACAGCCGAATAATAACCATCAGACAGAGGGATGACTTTTGGCTGTCCACCTTGTTGGACCCTCGCTACCGTTCAAAAAATGGTGGCCTTTTTCACACCTGCTGAGAGGGAGGCCAAAATAACGTACTATAAAAACCACCTATGTAGTCAGTTGGTCTCTGCCTTTGTGCGCCAACGTCCATCCTCAGACACTGTGGGCCCTGTGCGCTCGCGTTCCGCTGCCATGGCAGCAGGGGAGGGGTGGGGGGGGTGGTAGGAGCAGTGGCAGCTCCACCAGCAGCAGCTGCCTCAGTCTGCAGTCGATGATGAGTAGCTTTCTTCACCAGCGCAGTGAGGAAACTACTAACCAGCCGCAGCAGCAGCAGCAGCATCAGGTGGACCTGGAGCAGGACCTCAAACAACAGGCTTGGGCCTACTTGGACAGCACCCTGCCAACCGAGGTAGACAATCCCCTTGACTACTGGGCAACGAAACTTGACCTTTTGGCCCCAACTAGCTGAATTTGCCCTTGAAAGGCTGTCATGCCCGGCCAGTAGCGTGGCATCGGAGCGCGTGTTTAGTGCGGCAGGAGGTATTGTAACTCCGCGGAGGACACGACTGTCCACCCAAAGTGTGGAGAGACTCACGTTTGTGAAAATGAATCAGGCGTGGATTAGTCTGGATTTCAAACCACCAGTTCCTGACACAACTGACTAAATCCGCCATGAATCATGCCTCAAACATGTGCCACTTTGAGGTCTCCTCACACACTGCTGGTGTGTAGAATTTTTTTGACATAGGGTGCTGGCAGATTACGGGCCTCCCATAGCTGCTGCCAGGCCCCTAAATCTGCCATAGGCCCCTATATACCGCCTCCTCATGCTGCTGCCAGGTCCAGAGTCTCTCATGGGTCCCTGTACGGCCTCCCATTGCTGCTGTCTCCATCGCCACACTCTGCCATGTGCCACTTTCAGGTCTCCTCACACACTGCTGGTGTGTTCCATTTTTTGACATAGGGTGCTGGCAGATTACGGGCCTCCCATAGCTGCTGCCAGGCCCCTAATCTGCCATGGGCCCCTATATACCGCCTCCTCATGCTGCTGCCCAGGTCTCTCATGGGTCCCTGTACGCCTCCTCCCATGCTGCTGTCTCCATCGCCACACTCTGCCATGTGCCACTTTCAGGTCTCCTCACACACTGCTGGTGTGTAGAATTTTTTGACATATAGGGTGCTGGCAGATTACGGGCCTCCTATAGCTGCTGCCAGGCCCCTAATCTGCCATGGCCCCTATATACCGCCTCCTCATGCTGCTGCCAGGTCCAGAGTCTGCATGGGTCCACGGCCTCCCATTGCTGCTGTCTCCATCGCCACACTCTGCCATGCCATGTGCCACTTTCAGGTCTCCTCACACACTGCTGGTGTGTTGAATTTTTTGACATAGGGTGCTGGCAGATTACGGGCCTCCCATAGCTGCTGCCAGGCCCCTAATCTGCCATAGGGCCCCTATATACCGCCTCCTCATGCTGCTGCCAGGTCCAGAGTCTCTCATGGGTCCCTGTACGGCCTCCCATTGCTGCTGTCTCCATCGCCACACTCTGCCATGTGCCACTTTCAGGTCTCCTCACACTGCTGGTGTGTTGAATTTTTTGACATAGGGTGCTGGCAGATTACGGGCCTCCTATAGCTGCTGCCAGGCCCCTAATCTGCCATAGGCCCCTATATACCGCCTCCTCATGCTGCTGCCAGGTCCAGAGTCTCTCATGGGTCCCTGTACGGCCTCCCATTGCTGCTGTCTCCATCGCCACACTCTGCCATGTGCCACTTTCAGGTCTCCTCACACACTGCTGGTGTGTAGAATTTTTTGACATAGGGTGCTGGCAGATTACGGGCCTCCCATAGCTGCTGCCAGGCCCCTAATCTGCCATAGGCCCCTATATACCGCCTCCTCATGCTGCTGCCAGGTCCAGAGTCTCTCATGGGTCCCTGTACGGCCTCCCATTGCTGCTGTCTCCATCGCCACACTCTGCCATGTGCCACTTTCAGGTCTCCTCACACACTGCTGGTGTGTGAATTTTTTGACATAGGGTGCTGGCAGATTACGGGCCTCCCATAGCTGCTGCCAGGCCCCTAATCTGCCATAGGCCCCTATATACCGCCTCCTCATGCTGCTGCCAGGTCCAGAGTCATGGGTCCCTGTACGGCCTCCCATTGCTGCTGTCTCCATCGCCACACTCTGCCATGTGCCACTTTCAGGTCTCCTCACACACTGCTGGTGTGTGTTGAATTTTTTGACATAGGGTGCTGGCAGATTACGGGCCTCCCATAGCTGCTGCCAGGCCCCTAATCTGCCATGGGCCCCTATATACCGCCTCCTCATGCTGCTGCCAGGTCCAGAGTCTCTCATGGGTCCCTGTACGGCCTCCCATTGCTGCTGTCTCCATCGCCACACTCTGCCATGTGCCACTTTCAGGTCTCCTCACACTGCTGGTGTGTTGAATTTTTTTTGACATAGGGTGCTGGCAGATTACGGGCCTCCCATAGCTGCTGCCAGGCCCCTAATCTGCCATAGGCCCCTATATACCGCCTCCTCATGCTGCTGCCAGGTCCAGAGTCTCATGGGTCCCTGTACGGCCTCCCATTGCTGCTGTCTCCATCGCCACACTCTGCCATGTGCCACTTTCAGGTCTCCTCACACACTGCTGGTGTGTTTGAATTTTTTGACATAGGGTGCTGGCAGATTACGGGCCTCCCATAGCTGCTGCCAGGCCCCTAATCTGCCATAGGCCCCTATATACCGCCTCCTCATGCTGCTGCCAGGTCCAGAGTCTCTCATGGGTCCCTGTACGGCCTCCCATTGCTGCTGTCTCCATCGCCACACTCTGCCATGTGCCACTTTCAGGTCTCCTCACACACTGCTGGTGTGTAGAATTTTTTGACATAGGGTGCTGGCATTATTACGGGCCTCCCATAGCTGCTGCCAGGCCCCTAATCTGCCATGGGCCCCTATATACCGCCTCCTCATGCTGCTCCAGAGTCTCCATGGGTCCCTGTACGGCCTCCCATTGCTGCTGTCTCCATCGCCACACTGCCATGTGCCACTTTCAGGTCTCCTCACACACTGCTGGTGTGTTGAATTTTTTGACCATAGGGTGCTGGCAGATTACGGGCCTCCCATAGCTGCTGCCAGGCCCCTAATCTGCCATGGGCCCCTATATACCGCCTCCTCATGCTGCTGCCAGGTCCAGAGTCTGTCATGGGTCCCTGTACGGCCTCCATTGCTGCTGTCTCCATCGCCACACTCTGCCATGTGCCACTTTCAGGTCTCCTCACACACTGCTGGTGTGTTGAATTTTTTGACATAGGGTGCTGGCAGATTACGGGCCTCCCATAGCTGCTGCCAGGCCCCTAATCTGCCATAGGCCCCTATATACCGCCTCCTCATGCTGCTGCCAGGTCCAGAGTCTCTCATGGGTCCCTGTACGGCCTCCCCCATTGCTGCTGTCTCCATCGCCACACTCTGCCATGTGCCACTTTCAGGTCTCCTCACACACTGCTGGTGTGTTGAATTTTTTGACATAGGGTGCTGGCAGATTACGGGCCTCCCATAGCTGCTGCCAGGCCCCTAATCTGCCATAGGCCCCTATATACCGCCTCCTCATGCTGCTGCCAGGTCCAGAGTCTCTCATGGGTCCCTGTACGGCCTCCCATTGCTGCTGTCTCCATCGCCACACTCTGCCATGTGCCACTTTCAGGTCTCCTCACACTGCTGGTGTGTGTAGAATTTTTTGACATAGGGTGCTGGCAGATTACGGGCCTCCCATAGCTGCTGCCAGGCCCCTAATCTGCCATAGGCCCCTATATACCGCCTCCTCATGCTGCTGCCAGGTCCAGAGTCTCTCATGGGTCCCTGTACGGCCTCCCATTGCTGCTGTCTCCATCGCCACACACTCTGCCATGTGCCACTTTCAGGTCTCCTCACACACTGCTGGTGTGTAGAATTTTTTGACATAGGGTGCTGGCAGATTACGGGCCTCCCATAGCTGCTGCCAGGCCCCTAATCTGCCATAGGGCCCCTATATACCGCCTCCTCATGCTGCTGCCAGGTCCAGAGTCTGTCATGGGTCCCTGTACGGCCTCCCATTGCTGCTGTCTCCATCGCCACACTCTGCCATGTGTGTGCCACTTTCAGGTCTCCTCACACTGCTGGTGTGTGTTGAATTTTTTTGACATAGGGTGCTGGCAGATTACGGGCCTCCCATAGCTGCTGCCAGGCCCCTAATCTGCCATGGGCCCCTATATACCGCCTCCTCATGCTGCTGCCAGGTCCAGAGTCTCTCATGGGTCCCTGTACGGCCTCCCATTGCTGCTGTCTCCATCGCCACACTCTGCCATGTGCCACTTTCAGGTCTCCTCACACACTGCTGGTGTGTAGAATTTTTTGACATAGGGTGCTGGCAGATTACGGGCCTCCCATAGCTGCTGCCAGGCCCCTAATCTGCCATAGGCCCCTATATACCGCCTCCTCATGCTGCTGCCAGGTCCAGAGTCTCTCATGGGTCCCTGTACGGCCTCCCATTGCTGCTGTCTCCATCGCCACACTCTGCCATGTGCCACTTTCAGGTCTCCTCACACACTGCTGGTGTGTTGAATTTTTTGACATAGGGTGCTGGCAGATTACGGGCCTCCCATAGCTGCTGCCAGGCCCCTAATCTGCCTAGGCCCCTATATACCGCCTCCTCATGCTGCTGCCAGGTCCAGTCTGTCTGTCATGGGTCCCTGTACGGCCTCCCATTGCTGCTGTCTCCATCGCCACACTCTGCCATGTGCCACTTTCAGGTCTCCTCACACACTGCTGGTGTGTGTGTAGAATTTTTTGACATAGGGTGCTGGCTGGCAGATTACGGGCCTCCCATAGCTGCTGCCAGGCCCCTAATCTGCCATAGGCCCCTATATACCGCCTCCTCATGCTGCTGCCAGGTCCAGAGTCTCTCATGGGTCCCTGTACGGCCTCCCATTGCTGCTGTCTCCATCGCCACACTCTGCCATGTGCCACTTTCAGGTCTCCTCACACTGCTGGTGTGTAGAATTTTTTGACATAGGGTGCTGGCAGATTACGGGCCTCCCATAGCTGCTGCCAGGCCCCTAATCTGCCATAGGCCCCTATATACCGCCTCCTCATGCTGCTGCCAGGTCCAGAGTCTGTCATGGGTCCCTGTACGGCCTCCCATTGCTGCTGTCTCCATCGCCACACTCTGCCATGTGCCACTTTCAGGTCTCCTCACACACTGCTGGTGTGTTCAATTTTTTTTTGACATAGGGTGCTGGCAGATTACGGGCCTCCCATAGCTGCTGCCAGGCCCCTAATCTGCCATGGGCCCCTATATACCGCCTCCTCATGCTGCTGCCAGGTCCAGAGTCTCTCATGGGTCCCTGTACGGCCTCCCATTGCTGCTGTCTCCATCGCCACACTCTGCCATGTGCCACTTTCAGGTCTCCTCACACACTGCTGGTGTGTTGAATTTTTTGACATAGGGTGCTGGCAGATTATGGGCCTCCCATAGCTGCTGCTGCCAGGCCCCTAATCTGCCATAGGCCCCTATATACCGCCTCCTCATGCTGCTGCTGCTGCCAGTCCAGAGTCTCTCATGGGTCCCTGTACGGCCTCCCATTGCTGCTGTCTCCATCGCCACACTCTGCCATGTGCCACTTTCAGGTCTCCTCACACACTGCTGGTGTGTGTGTAGAATTTTTTGACATAGGGTGCTGGCAGATTACGGGCCTCCCATAGCTGCTGCCAGGCCCCTAATCTGCATATAGGCCCCTATATACCGCCTCCTCATGCTGCTGCCAGGTCCAGAGTCTGTCATGGGTCCCTGTACGGCCTCCCATTGCTGCTGTCTCCATCGCCACACTCTGCCATGTGCCACTTTCAGGTCTCCTCACACACTGCTGGTGTGTAGAATTTTTTGACATAGGGTGCTGGCAGATTACGGGCCTCCCATAGCTGCTGCCAGGCCCCTAATCTGCCATAGGCCCCTATATACCGCCTCCTCATGCTGCTGCCAGGTCCAGAGTCTGTCATGGGTCCCTGTACGGCCTCCCATTGCTGCTGTCTCCATCGCCACACTCTGCCATGTGCCACTTTCAGGTCTCCTCACACACTGCTGGTGTGTTGAATTTTTTGACATAGGGTGCTGGCAGATTACGGGCCTCCCATAGCTGCTGCCAGGCCCCTAATCTGCCATAGGGCCCCTATATACCGCCTCCTGCTGCCAGGTCCAGAGTCTGCATGGGTCCCTGTACGGCCTCCCATTGCTGCTGTCTCCATCGCCACACTCATGCCCCGGCTCTCCATCGCCACACTGCCACTTTCAGGTCTCCTCACACTGCTGGTGTGTTGAATTTTTTGACATAGGGTGCTGGCAGATTACGGGCCTCCCATAGCTGCTGCCAGGCCCCTAATCTGCCATAGGCCCCTATATACCGCCTCCTCATGCTGCTGCCAGGTCCAGAGTCTCTCATGGGTCCCTGTACGGCCTCCTCCCATTGCTGCTGTCTCCATCGCCACACTCTGCCATGTGCCACTTTCAGGTCTCCTCACACACTGCTGGTGTGTAGAATTTTTTGACATAGGGTGCTGGCAGATTACGGGCCTCCCATAGCTGCTGCCAGGCCCCTAATCTGCCATAGGCCCCTATATACCGCCTCCTCATGCTGCTGCCAGGTCCAGAGTCTCTCATGGGTCCCTGTACGGCCTCCCATTGCTGCTGTCTCCATCGCCACACTCTGCCATGTGCCACTTTCAGGTCTCCTCACACACTGCTGGTGTGTGTGAATTTTTTTGACATAGGGTGCTGGCAGATTATTATGGGCCTCCCATAGCTGCTGCCAGGCCCCTAATCTGCCATAGGGCCCCTATATACCGCCTCCTCATGCTGCTGCCAGGTCCAGAGTCTCTCATGGGTCCCTGTACGGCCTCCCATTGCTGCTGTCTCCATCGCCACACTCTGCCTGCCATGTGCCACTTTCAGGTCTCCTCACACACTGCTGGTGTGTAGAATTTTTTGACATAGGGTGCTGGCAGATTACGGGCCTCCCATAGCTGCTGCCAGGCCCCTAATCTGCCATAGGCCCCTATATACCGCCTCCTCATGCTGCTGCCAGGTCCAGAGTCTGTCATGGGTCCCTGTACGGCCTCCCATTGCTGCTGTCTCCATCCACACACTCTGCCATGTGCCACTTTCAGGTCTCCTCACACACTGCTGGTGTGTAGAATTTTTTGACATAGGGTGCTGGCAGATTACGGGCCTCCCATAGCTGCTGCCAGGCCCCTAATCTGCCATGGGCCCCTATATACCGCCTCCTCATGCTGCTGCCAGGTCCAGAGTCTCTCATGGGTCCCTGTACGGCCTCCCATCCATCGCATGCTGCCACACTGCCATGTGCCACTTTCAGGTCTCCTCACACTGCTGGTGTGTGAATTTTTTTGACATAGGGTGCTGGCAGATTACGGGCCTCCCATATAGCTGCTGCCAGGCCCCTAATCTGCCATAGGCCCCTATATACCGCCTCCTCATGCTGCTGCCAGGTCCAGAGTCTCTCATGGGTCCCTGTACGGCCTCCCATTGCTGCTGTCTCCATCGCCACACTCTGCCATGTGCCACTTTCAGGTCTCCTCACACACTGCTGGTGTGTTGAATTTTTTTGACATAGGGTGCTGGCAGATTACGGGCCTCCCATAGCTGCTGCCAGGCCCCTAATCTGCCATAGGCCCCTATATACCGCCTCCTCATGCTGCTGCCAGGTCCAGAGTCTGTCATGGGTCCCTGTACGGCCTCCCATTGCTGCTGTCTCTCCATCGCCACACTCTGCCATGTGCCACTTTCAGGTCTCCTCACACACTGCTGGTGTGTAGAATTTTTTTTACATAGGGTGCTGGCAGATTACGGGCCTCCCATAGCTGCTGCCAGGCCCCTAATCTGCCATAGGCCCCTATATACCGCCTCCTCATGCTGCTGCCAGGTCCAGAGTCTCTCATGGGTCCCTGTACGGCCTCCCATTGCTGCTGTCTCCATCGCCACACTCTGCCATGCCACTTTCAGGTCTCCTCACACACTGCTGGTGTGTAGAATTTTTTGACATAGGGTGCTGGCAGATTACGGGCCTCCCCATAGCTGCTGCCAGGCCCCTAATCTGCCATAGGCCCCTATATACCGCCTCCTCATGCTGCTGCCAGGTCCAGAGTCTCTCATGGGTCCCTGTACGGCCTCCCATTGCTGCTGTCTCCATCGCCACACTCTGCCATGTGCCACTTTCAGGTCTCCTCACACACTGCTGGTGTGTTGAATTTTTTGACATAGGGTGCTGGCAGATTACGGGCCTCCCATAGCTGCTGCCAGGCCCCTAATCTGCCATGGGCCCTATATACCCGCCTCCTCATGCTGCTGCCAGGTCCAGAGTCTCTCATGGGTCCCTGTACGGCCTCCCATGCTGCTGTCTCCATGCCACACTCTGCCATGTGCCACTTTCAGGTCTCCTCACACACTGCTGGTGTGTTGAATTTTTTGACATAGGGTGCTGGCAGATTACGGGCCTCCCATAGCTGCTGCCAGGCCCCTAATCTGCCATAGGCCCCTATATACCGCCTCCTCATGCTGCTGCCAGGTCCAGAGTCTGTCATGGGTCCCTGTACGGCCTCCCATTGCTGCTGTCTCCATCGCCACTCTCCATGTGCCACTTTCAGGTCTCCTCACACACTGCTGGTGTGTTGTAATTTTTTGACATAGGGTGCTGGCAGATTACGGGCCTCCCATAGCTGCTGCCAGGCCCCTAATCTGCCATGGGCCCCTATATACCGCCTCCTCATGCTGCTGCCAGGTCCAGAGTCTCTCGGCCTGCCATGTGCCACTTTCAGTGCCACTCAGGTCTCACACACTGCTGGTGTGTTGAATTTTTTGACATAGGGTGCTGCTGAGATTATGGGCCTCCCATAGCTGCTGCCAGGCCCCTAATCTGCCATAGGCCCCTATATACCGCCTCCTCATGCTGCTGCCAGGTCCAGAGTCTCTCATGGGTCCCTGTGTACGGCCTCCCATTGCTGCTGTCTCCATCGCCACACTCTGCCATGTGCCACTTTCAGGTCTCCTCACACACTGCTGGTGTGTAGAATTTTTTTGACATAGGGTGCTGGCAGATTACGGGCCTCCCATAGCTGCTGCCAGGCCCCTAATCTGCCATAGGCCCCTATATACCGCCTCCTCATGCTGCTGCCAGGTCCAGAGTCTCTCATGGGTCCCTGTACGGCCTCCCATTGCTGCTGTCTCCATCGCCACACTCTGCCATGTGCCACTTTCAGGTCTCCTCACACACTGCTGGTGTGTAGAATTTTTTGACATAGGGTGCTGGCAGATTACGGGCCTCCCATAGCTGCTGCCAGGCCCCTAATCTGCCATAGGCCCCTATATACCGCCTCCTCATGCTGCTGCCAGGTCCAGAGTCTCTCATGGGTCCCTGTACGGCCTCCCATTGCTGCTGTCTCCATCGCCACACTCTGCCATGTGCCACTTTCAGGTCTCCTCACACACTGCTGGTGTGTGTGTATTTTTTGACATAGGGTGCTGGCAGATTACGGGCCTCCCATAGCTGCTGCCAGGCCCCTAATCTGCCATGGGCCCCTATACCGCCTCCTCATGCTGCTGCCAGGTCCAGAGTCTGTCATGGGTCCCTGTACGGCCTCCCATTGCTGCTGTCTCCATCGCCACACTCTGCCATGTGCCACTTTCAGGTCTCCTCACACTGCTGGTGTGTTGAATTTTTTGACATAGGGTGCTGGCAGATTACGGGCCTCCCATTGCTGCTGCCAGGCACGTAATCTGCCATGGGCCCCCGTACCGACTCCTCATGCTGTGACGTTGCAACAAGGTGGAATTCAACCCTACATATGTTAGACCGCCTTTACGAACAGCGAAAGGCCATCACAGATTCCTGATGTTAAAAGCGGATAAAGGTACTCCCTGTGTAACTTAGATGTCAGCCATTGGCAGCTCATGCGTGACACCTGCGCTTGCTCAGGCCCTTTGAGGAGGCCACGCTATTCGTGAGTCGGCAGGACTATGGGATGAACGACGTCATTCCTCTGTTGCACGTCCTGGAACAAATGCTGTTAACAATGGCTGGTCAGGGTGCGGTAGACGTGGCGCACAGATCTCAACGCCACATGACCCCTGTGGGGGCAGGACAGGAAGAAGAGGAGGAGGTAGAGGAGGACATTGGTGCTCAGGAATTATTGAGTGAAATGGGTGGTTTTTCCACTCAGCGGACAGGAGTGGAGGAGCAGGAGCATCTGGTAGAGGAGGAGGAGGAGGAGGAGACAGAGGACCCAGACGCACCGTGGCAGTATGCTGTGGAGATGGAGGCAGGGAGTCCCTCGCATTCCTTGGCACAAATGGCCCATAGCATGCTCGCTTGCTTGCGTAGCGACAGCCGAATAATAACCATCAGACAGAGGGATGACTTTTGGCTGTCCACCTTGTTGGACCCTCGCTACCGTTCAAAAATGGTGGCCTTTTTCACACCTGCTGAGAGGGGCCAAAATAACGTACTATAAAAACCACCTATGTAGTCAGCTGGTCTCTGCCTGTCTGCGCCAACGTCCATCCTCAGACACTGTGGGCCCTGTGCGCTCGCGTTCCGCTGCCATGGCAGCAGGGGAGGGGTGGGGTGGTAGGAGCAGTGGCAGCTCCACCAGCAGCGGCTGCCTCAGTCTGCAGTCGATGATGAGTAGCTTTCTTCACCAGCG